AGTCGTAACAACGTGAGTGAGGAAATTCGAGTAGTTTTGACCCAGAAAGCGAAATTTGAATATCAGACACTTAGGTGCAAGATTATGCCAACATTCCATGCTTTCCGTCCCGTTTTTGCTCATTTCTCGAAGGCAAAATGAGCAAGAACGCTCATTTGTACATCCTTCTCGGGAGAACTAAATGGCCTTTTTAGAAAGTGAACCATGGATGGGGAAATGAATGTAAATAAGTAAAACCATCCAAGTTTCAATAACTATTGCCACTTTTCTTCATTCATCAGATCACTTGATCAACTGAATTAAATAAAATATGGAAGTCAAATTCTCGAAACCAAACTATTCTTATAGAATTAGCTTCTTATAGAATAGAATTATAGAACAAGCGCACTCTGTGTATTTTTGTATCACCAAAAAATGCAGGAATTTTTTCAGTTATTTGCTAACAGTAACTCGGCGTTCTGTAAACAGTCTGGAAAACTTAATTAAACTTACTTTTCATGCGATAACAGTGTTAAGTGACAAGAAAACACATATTTTTTGCCAAACTTCTTAGTTTAAAGTAACGTTGGTTAGAAACTGTACAAATTGGACCCCGAGCGTCTAATAACAAAAGTGTTTCGATTGGAAGTAGCCAACATTTATTGGGATCATTGCCTGTGGTATAAGACAGCTTTATTACCAAATTAAGTGCTGATATGCATCCAATCTACTGATGAATCGTTTCAGTTGAATTTCATGAAAAAATATGGATACCTTGTCAGCGACAACGGCCAATCAGAGGCGATATATTCGGAGGAAAATTTGAGCAATATCATAAAAAACCTGCAAAGATTTGGGGCTATAGAAGAAACGGGAGTGATCGATAACGAAACAGTGAAGGTACTAATTGCTTTGAATCCTCTACTGCTAAAGGAGTAAAAATTGATGCTTGTAGCTTATGGGCTCTCCAAGATGTGGAGTTCCTGACATCATCCCAACCGGGAACAGCAGCAGAAGAAAGCGATTTGCTACAATCAGTGGATGGAATAAACGCCACCTCACCTACTAGTAAGTGCCGGAGTAAGAATTCCCTACTGCCTGTTACAGAGTTTCTATGCTTATCTGCAGCATCTCAAATTGGTCTGCTAGACTGGGAGAAAACGCAGTGGCTCGAAACATTCAAAAAGCCCTAGACATTTGGGGAGGATACGGCCGCCTAACATTCACACGAACTCAAAGTCCAGACGCCGACATCATTGTGGCATTTGGGCGTCAACATCATGGAGATATGCAAGTAATCATGTTTCCCAACAAGAAAGAAGCTGATTTTGTATTTTTCAGATACCCATTTGATGGTCCAGGAGGAGTTCTAGCCCACGGCTTCTTCCCATCGGGCTCCGAAAGAGCAGACGAGGGAGGAGACATCCACTTCGACGACGAAGAAGAATGGATAGACGGCAAAAGCGCCTCTAAGGAAACCGGCGGATCAGAAAGCACGGACTTTTTCACCGTCGCTCTTCATGAGCTGGGGCATTCATTGGGGCTGGCGCATTCTGATGTCTCCACTTCGGTTATGTTCCCATACTATCAGGGATGGGATGCCAATTCACAGAACTACCTGGACTATGATGATATTTTGGGAATGTACCGCTTATACAGTAAGTGATTTCATGGCCGTAAATCAGTTTTCTGAGACACGGGTTTAGTTCAAAGGCGACTAAAAGAGGACGAGATGACGCCGCAACTGTACCCAGAAGAAACCACCAGCACCAGAAGACCCTGGAGCAGAGAGCCCGAACAAACCACTCCAGGGGGTCGTGAGAGGGAGGAGTCCACTGTATCTGGCAGGCGGCGGAATCCATGGTACTTCAAAGTTTTTGCTAATCTCTGAATAGAATAGAAGTCCTCCATTCACCCAACTTATTGGGTATCATTGATAATCGTCTCAACTGTTATTATGTTTTTTCTTTCCTGGGTTTCAGACAAAATGTGAAATAAAAATGTGCATTTTGTAGGGCAAAGTCGCCTATATAAGTGAAGAGAGYCTCGATTTTCAGTCATCATCAGACAATTTTTGACAATTTTTCGAAATTGCGTTTGTTGTTCGAAGTTGGTTTTGCATGCCGGATGTTGGCATTTATTTATTCAAGAACTAACTTCGTGAGAGAGTCGGTTATGCGCGCAATTTGTAGGCCAACATTTTTTCTACAAGGATTAAAATCTTYGATTTTCTGTGATCATGCGATAATTTTGAATAATTTTTCAAATATGGATGTAGCTTTCGCGTATATTTCTGATATTTTCGATGCATCTCGTAGATCAAATTTGTTCTATAGGTGAAGAAAGTTTCGATTTTCAGTCATCATCAGTAAATTTTTGACAATTTTGCAAAAATGCGTTTGGGTTACTAGGTTTTTTTGCAAGCCGGGGTTTTCGTATTTATTCATTCAGAAACTAACAAAGTGAGAGCGTAGATTTTGTTTGTATTTTGCAGAGCAAAGTATGTTCTACAAGTGCCAAATATTTCGATTTTTAGCCATAGTCAGGCAATTTTCAAGAATTTTTCAAAGTTGAATGTGTTTTTTGCGGAAATTTAAGCTGGTGGTAGTTGGAAATTGATTGGCTGAGAAAGTTGCTACGGTAGAGAGTTACTTTTGTACCAGCTTTAGAGGACAAAAACTGTTCTATGTGGAAAACGTTTCGATTTTCAGTCGTCATCAGGCAAATTTAAAGAATTTTTTGAACTTGCCACTGATTTTTGTCGTGGTTTTAGCAGGCCGGAGTTTTTGTTTGCAAAGCTAACTGCAAAGCTTACTGTTTGTCAGTAATTTGCAAAGCTAAAAAATCAGTTTTGAATCACATTTATAAGGTAAAGTCGGTTCTTTAAGTGAGAAACGTTTCGATTTTGCATCACCTTCAGCGAATTTTCTGGAATTTTTTCAAACAGGTTTTGTGTTTCSAACTTGTTTACACAGGCCGTAGTTCGACAGATATTTAGTCGAAAACTTTTGTATGTATTTTGTTGAGCATGTTGAGGATGTTAAAATGGCAAAAGTTTCGTATTTAAGGCACCATTAAGTCATATTCAAATTATTTTTTTAAATTGCGATATAATTTTGTGGCTTTTAGGCAGTCGTAAATTAGTCAATTATTTTTTCAAAAACCAGTGAAGGTGGATAGACACTTTTGGGTGCGATTTGTAGAGCAAAGGGCGCTCTAAATGTGAAAAAAGTTTCATTATTGAGTCATATCCAGGCAAATCTTTAAAAAATTAAATTTACTTTTACGTTTTGAAGTTGCTTTTGGCAAGCCTACATTTGCATGAGCTTTTACTATATATTTACAAAAGTTGGAAGATCGCGTTTGAATAAATTTCGTATAGCCAGATGTGTTCTTTAACTTATATCAGTTTTAAATCTGATGATGGTGCCGTTGTCTCGCCGAAACGTAATATGAAATAAACGATATGAACATTTTTTTCACATTTTGACTGAAACTCAGGAAAGAAAAATATCATAACAATTACCTACACGGTGAGGAAAAAAATTGTCTCAACTTCTTGTCGGGGACGTTGTATAAAACTAGCCAATTTCCCAGGTTTGGAAACAGACACCACCATCCAACGACTTTTTACCCGCGCACTTCAACACCAGCCTCCGAGGACCGCACCATATTATATCAAGGAGATGATGAATCTGTGGAGGTGCATAAGAATCATGATCCTCATCACAAGCCTGGTAAAAACCACTCCCCAAGCCTGCCCTACATTTGCCAGGGACACTTCGATGCAGTGGCCACTTTAAGAGGAGAGTTGTTCATTTTCAAGGATGAGGTAGCAGGTTTTTCTTTGAATCTCCCGACTTTTCAGTGAATACTGATCATGTTTCAGTACCTCTGGAGATTGAGCGACATGGGAGCGATGGTGCGGGGTTACCCGATTTTAATTCGCGATATGTTCCAACAGTTGCCCAAATCGGTTAAAAAAATCGACGCTGCCTATCAGCGACCGGATGGTAACATTGTTTTATTCACCGGGGATAAACTGTGGGTGCATAATGGGCGAGAGTTTGTAGAAAATAGTCCACTACCACTCAGCTACGTTGCTTTACCTGATTATCTGCATGGCATAGATGCTGCTCAGAATTGGGCCAAAAACGGTAATACTAACATGAAACTATCTATGAAACGCCTTGTAAAGCAGGCGGGTGTTTCAGGGAAGACCTACTTTTACAAAAATGACCGCTTTTGGAGATTTGACGAGTCGTCGAAGACTATGGATCCTGGATATCCCATGCATATGGAGCGATGGCATGGAGTTCCATCGAATCTGGATGCAGCCGTTACTTGGAAAGACGGTAGAAATGCTCATTGATCCTCTTTTTTTAATTTATTATTCAAACCCTTTCCAGGAAATACATATTTCTTCAAAGGGGAGTTGTTTTGGAAGTTCGACAATACCTGGATCATGGCAACGACAACATCCCCGCTCCCAATAGCGCCCATATGGTTAGGGTGCCACGAAGAAGCGCTAACTAAGCCAATTATGAAACGCCTTTTTGGGGTATAAAGAAACTGGACATTGTTTCATGTACAAATCAAATGCATTTTATTAACTGGACACCAACCTGTTCCTACCATTGAAGTTCCTTTCCGTCCCACTGGAAAAAGCCTCCAGTATGGCTTTCATCGAGCTTTGCCATCAGTTGCACAATTCCTCTGGAGCTTTCTTCTACGGACATTGGCGCATTGCTTCCGCCCATGTCGGTCTTCACCCATCCTGGATGAACACAAGCCACTAGAATGCCGTCTTTTTTTAAATCTTTACTCAGTGACTTAGTGGCCATATTGATGGCAGCCTAAAATGTATAATGCTTAAGCAGTAACAGTGGAAAGGAAATGAAAATCTGAGAAGACAGTGAAGACTTGGAAGAGGAAAATGGGGGCAAGTTTGAGAAAATCGTGAAGATAGCTGATGATGATTCAAAATCGAAACTGGTGCCGTTTATAAAATGGATTATGCGCTACAAAATTCATACAAAAGTCGATCCCTAGCCCAACTAGTTTCTGACCAAATAACAGAGAAACTCCACAGCAAGCACAAAATTCCCAAACAAATCTAAAGAAATGTTTGAAAATTTCCTGACGATAAGGTAAAATCGAAACGTCTTCCAGTTAGAGAACACATCTTGCTATACGAAATTTATTCAAACGCGATCTTCCAACTTTTGTAAATATATAGTAAAAGCTAATGCAAATGTAGGCTTGCCAAAAGCAACTTCAAAACGTAAAAGTAAATTTAATTTTTTAAAAGATTTGCGTGGATATGACTCAATAATTAAACTTTTTCCACATTTAGAGCGCACTTTGCTCTACATATCGCACCCAAAAGTGTCTATCCACCTTCACTGGTTTTTGAAAAAATAAATGACTAATTTACGACTGCCTAAAAGCCACAAAATTATATCGCAATTAAAAAAAAATAATTTGAATATGACTTAATGCTGCCTTAAATAGGAAACTTTGCTCAACAAAATACATACAAAAGTTTTCGATTAAATATCTGTCGAACTACGGCCTATGTAAACAAATTCGAAATACAAAACCTATTTGAAAAAATTCCACAAAATTCGCTGAAGATGATGCAAAATCGAAACGTTTCTCACTTAAAGAACCGACTTTACCCTATAAATGTGATTCAAAAGTGATTTTTTAGC